AATGGACACATCCAGATTCAGATCCTCATGGTCAGGGACATCCCTCTGGTATTGGGCCAAGGCTTGGAACACCATGAAAGTGGCCTAGAACCCATGAGAGAAGAAGAGGGTGATGTGAGAGACTGAGAAAGCAGTCAGAACCTGCTGGGGGATGAAAAGTTTCAGCTTAGAGCTGGGCTACTGAGACTGTGGCCTAAAATTCACCAGAGGGGATGAGAATAAGAATGGGGGTTGTTATATACTGAGGACATGTTCTAGAACTCTCTCAGTGAGAGAGGCTCAGTCTAGTGCTTGGTGGCACTAAGACTGTGACCTAGATGGGACCAGAGGGCACAAGGGTAAGACTAGGGGTCATTAGACACTGAGGACATCTCCTAGAATTCTCCAAGGGACAGAGGCTTACACCATAGTGTGGAGACACTGAGCATGTCTAGATACATGAGAAAGAGCAGGCATAAGACTGAAGGTCTAATATGCCTAGCCCATGGACACTTGGAATAAGGTAATGAAGACTTGAGGGTGGGTGGGTAGGGGCTGGGAGGAGAAGGGAAATGGGCGAGGGGCAGATATGTGCAATACTATCAACAATAAAAATATATTTTAAAATAAATAAATACAATAAAAACATGCCAACAGCTGCTACAAAACAACAACAACAAAACCAAAATGACTGAAGGTCTAGCAACACCGAGAATGTGGTCTAGACCCATGCAGAGAAGAGAAACTAACACAGGGTTCACAGACACTGAGAATGTATCTAGAGCCCATTTGTGAATAAATAATAAAATTGGAACCTGGGGACAACTAAGCATATAATGTAGAATCCAAAAGTGACACTGAGCCCTGGCCTGGTGGCTCAGTTAGTTGGATCATTGGCTCATGCATCAAAAGGTTGCAGATCCCATCCCCGGTCAAGACACATACGGGAAGTAATCCATTGATGTTTCTCACATCAATGTGTGGGTTTTTTTTCTCTCTCTCCCTTCCTCTCTCTCTCAAATCAATAAACATATTCTTGGATGAGGATTTATTAAATATCTGAGAATGCCACCAGAGAGAAAGGGCATCAAACTGAGGCCTGAGCTTTTTAGACTTGAGGCTGCTGCAACCATGGTCTAAAATCCAGCTGGAAGAGAGCAGGCTTTGATAATACTCTAGAAAACTGAGACCATGATGTAGAACCCATAGTAAGACAAGGTAACACTGGGAGCCTCGTGGAACTGAGTGCATGGTCTAGAACCCGCCAGAGGGAAAGATGGACTTGCTGATTCCCTATAAATAATTGAGAATTGGTCTAGAACCCACCAGTGAAACAAAGTAAGATGGAATGCTTGGTGGAACTAGAAACATGGTCTAGAACCCATCAGAGAGAGGTTCACCCCTGAACCTGGGCCTTGAGAGTGTGATCTGGACACCAGGAGGGAAAGGGAGTCTCAAAATGCAGCTTGAGGCATCCAGAATTTAGTGTAGAATCCATAGACAGATTTGCAACAAAAACCAAAACCTGATATCTCAACTTCATTCCAATCAACTGCCTCTCTTGGTCTCAGCATCTTATCTGGGAGGCCATTCAGGCCAGAGGAGGTAAGGATGCATTTGCCTGGGGGACGTGGGACCACTTGCCTGGGTGGAGCCATAGCCACCTCCATAGAATCTCTGCTCGTTGAGCCAGCGCACAACAGGAGGTACAGAGTCAAAGTCTTTGAGCAGCAGCAGAGCCAACAGGGCATAGGATGTGGCCTCTATAGTGTAGAGCCTTTGGCCAGGCTCCTCCCAGCGGTTCTTATCTACAAGAGAGAACACCAGCCCCCAT